TACCCAAGGAACTATATCTTGAAGAAAGTGAAGCTTGAAAGGTAAGAAAGACATAAGACAGAAGAGAAGACATACTCCGAACTTGACTTTGGAACTTGGAATGTACCTTCACTAAGACTGGAAACAATTTACTTTTTCTCCTTTTTGTTTTTACTTTTCCCCGATATGTATTACCTACTAACTTTTTAAGAATAGATATTGCCTATATAATCTTCAATTATTTTTCATTATAGACAAAGTTATCTGGATATGAAGTGTCTTTGCATAGTAAATGTATGAATAACGAGATAAAAGCACAAACTATCTGTTAATGTTACTACAATATATTCAGTATACATACAGACTTGGACTTACAGCTTCTTTACATTTTATCTTGATAATTACTGGACACATTTTCTTGATTTCATAAAGGATAATGCTGATATTTTGAACATATTTTCCATAAAAGGCTCCCCAAAATGCATTTTTGACTGGAGCAATGATTTTGAAATTAAGAATATTGATTTAGGTTTTATTTTGGACCTCTTCTTAGTAGGAACTGTAAGGAGGCCTCATTCCAAATTAGACTGTTACAGTTCATGATGAAATATTATCTCTACTTTATCACATGAGGAGATGTACACTGGAGTGTATGTGAATAGAAGAAAGGGGATTTTCCATATGCTAGAAGCGTTTCACATGTTTTGCCTGATGGAAAATCCAAGCCATCATTTTCTCAACTTTCTCCACATCCTTAACTTTACTAATGAAATCCTTCCTTACTGGGAAACGGTGAAATCTTTTCCCACCTTAGAAGGAGATTTCCTCATGTAATGGACAGACTCGGAAACACCTGGTCCACATTCTCTATGGAAATAACATTCTTATTCATAGGATTTACCCCAAAACCTTGTGTATGTCCGTGTCCTTGTGTACAGATATATTTCTGTTGTTCATACTATTTCCCATTTAAATTTCACATTTAAAAAGTAAGATGACTTTTACCAAATTTTGAGGGTGTGTGAAGGAGGTACATGCCTGTACACGCACGGCGAATATGATTTATGCACTGCATTTTAATTAATAAAAATATTCTAAGTGTAAACACATGACTGTTTGAAATTTCTCCAAATATTAAGTCACTATTTTAGGGTCACACCTTGGAGTGAGTGTTAAGACAAAGGGGAAAGAAATTCCAAGGAATCAGTGATGGACAGACATGGAGAGACATAGATCTTTGTTGTTGCTTTTGAGAAGGGATAACCTAAATGTTCACCAGACTGAAACTGTCTCCCATCTGTGATGTAGAGATTAAAGGCATGAAGACATAGTCTTAGTCAAGCGACCGGAGACAATTTTGTTCAGAAGCACGCAGCACCAGCCTGTCTTTTTAGAAAGGGGTGGGTGAAAATACAAAAAGAAAATATAAACTAACACTTCATTAAGTTCACCAGACCCTGAATACCAGATGACTGGCTTTAGTCCTTGCTGATTGTCTGGAATGTGCAGCTGTGCAAAGCCAGCAGGCTTTGTTGGTTGGAAAGATGCATCTTTCTGCATCAAAAAAAAAGAAAAGAAAAGAAAAGAAAAGTGCCTGATTCTTGGACAGAAAGAAAGCACCCCACGAAATGGGTGTCCGCTTTAAAAGTCTGGGGATCCAGAGTGCTTACTTCATTGCGGTATAAATATACATACAATGGAATCGTATTCAGCCAGAAAAGAAGGAAATCCTGCCATCTGTGACAACATGGATGGACCTTGAGGACATTCAACTAAGTGAAAAAAGTCAGACAGAGAAAGACAAATATCGTGTGATCTCACGTATCTCTGGAATCAAAAAAAAAAAAAGCCAAAGTCTTAGGAAAAGGGACCCGATTTGCAGTTACCACTGGGGAAGGGACATTGGATGAAAGCAGTCAAAAGGTAAAAACTTCCAGTCATAAGGGAAATAAGCACTTGAGATGTAACGTACAACACGACGACTCTGTTAACACTGCCGTGTGGTACGTTTGAAAGTTAAGAGTAAATACTGAGAGTTCGCATCACAAATTAAAAAACCTGTTTTTCTTTCTTTTTTTTTTTTGTATCTATATCGTATCATAGAGTTTAACTGCACTTACTGTGGTAATCATTTTCCAATATTTGTAACCTCAGAAAAGTAATGAAGGGAGAACACGAAGTAAGAAAAAAAGACTAATAATATTCTGTTGCATTCTTTCCAAGGGGCAGTGGGTTCCAGCTTGCCTTATGTTTACGTAAGTGATTGTCTATCTCCACTTCAAGGGAATCACCTAAGAATATCTTCAAGATGGCATCTTTGGCTGAATAAACTAGTGAATAAGTGGCCTTGCAGGGGTGGGAAGGGATAAATTAGGAGTTCGAGATTTGCAGATATTAACCGCTATATATAAAATAAATACACAACAAGTTTCTACTGTACAGCACAGGGAACTGTATTCAATATCTTGTAGTAACCTATGGTGAAAAGGAGTAAGAAAATGAATATATGTATGTATATGTATGACTGAACTATTATGCTGTACACCAGGAACTGAGACATTGTAAACTGACTATACTTCAATAAAAAAAAGTAAATAAATAAATAAAACACTGGGATATACCAAAAAAAGAAACTGGCCTTCCTACATTTGTAAACTATTTGCAGAAATAAAGGGTAATTCCAACCGTAATAAATGTTGTTAGTTATCCTCTTTACCTTTCTTATCTTCATTATATTAAAATTTTGAGGCCTGGGGTTACTTTCTCTTAATTTAGAATATTGTCAGAATGTATGTGATATGCAAAAATACACTGTACAGAAAATACAACATCAATAGTTACCAATCAAAAAAAATGATGATTCAGTTTTTTCCACCTAAGCATTCTTGGATCACTTTCTATCATTATTTATAAATTGCTTCCATTGTGATAACTATATGAAAACGTTATCAACCAGAAAAGGGTACTAAGTTTTCAACACAGATTTAGCTTTCAACTAAGAAACAACCGGGTAGTGAGATACAAATTCACTTGCAAAAATCGAATTTACAGGAATGAGATTTAATTCGTGCTTGAAAAATTCACCACAGGTGTCATATTTTAAGTCTAGGAAATGCTGCTGTACATCTTGTCATCAATGAGATGGTGACCTTCAAGTGTCACATCTAATGACATGTAATAGACAAGGACTGGGAGATGATCAAAAGTAAATATCCAACCAGGTTACAAGTGTTGCACTTCAAGAAAGACAAAGGCTGCCGAGCGGGTCTGAATAGCTCCAAAGCAGGCCTTCCCGGCCAGTGAGAGTGTCTGTACCTGGATCCACCTGGGTTTAGTGAGCAAAGTCTGCTGACTTCTATTTTGATCATGATGTGGATGAGAATACTTCTAGGTACTTCTCTCATTCATCTGTCTCTTGCTCATTTCCCCAAAGTGTAAACAACCGCATAGGGTTTTATTACTACATGTGGAAGCCGAATAGAGCTCGGTATTAAAAAGTTGAGCTTCATTATATTTTCATTGCAGTAATTTGATGTGGGATAAGATTACCATTTCACAATATAATCCAAAATATATTAATCTGTACAATACATTCCAAATTTGAGTGGCACCATCATTTCTGCCTAGTAAATAACCTGGAATGTAATTAAGGGCTTTAACACTGTTGTGTTTACGTTCAGAAAGAGGCCTCAGTGGGCTGTTGAGGAAGGAAGCTGGACTCATCGTAGTAACATGAAGTTTGCAGTATTGATTTGGAGGCAAAAATATGGTATGAAGACATTGACATTGTTTACCTTTATAGAACTAATGACTTTAATTTGTTGCTTCTCCATTATCGGGATTCCTTTGTTGAGTCTACAAAATTCAATTCATAGGCCACCATGCTTCTACTTCGTGAATTTCAAGTCCTCAGATTTAGCCTGTTAATGTATTCCTAATATTAAAAAATAATGCACCTTTCTTACACTCCAAAATCCTTCAGTTGAACAAAATAATGGCTACGTAGCTGAACATTGCTTTCACACTTTCAATTTTAACGCTCTTGCTTAAATTTTGCAGGCAGTATGTTCTACTGGTCCCTTCTGTTGTGCAAGAAAGCTCTTTAGGTAAAGCTTACACTTAGCTTTTCAATCTTACAGAATCTGCTGTTTTGACTGTCTCCTTCAACCCTGACGAGGTCCAGACCGAAATATTTGAAGAGAATGTTACTGGACAGGATTTCTTTAAATGCATCTATTCTGCATTTCCTCAAATGCATCATTCTGTTTTGTAGCGAGAAGAATAATGAAGGTGCACAAAAAGGTACCCATACAACTGAATTTCTAGGGACGGAGATCAGACTATTTCACTGTGTAGGTAGAGTTCTTTTATTTTTTAAAAGAATCACATAGTCCTCAGTTCGGGGTGATGTAAGTATAGTCATAAATGGTGACAAAGGGACAAACCAAACCATTTGATTTTAGGACAGAAATTTGTTGAAGGGAGTAATACAGATAAAAGGGAAGAGCCCCATGCAGAGAAGGAAAATTTTAGTAAGAAGAATTAATTTAAATGATGAGATAAGAAAGTAAAAAAACCAGAGACAGAAACCAGACTGGTTATTCAAAAAATAGAGCTGACAACTTACGAATTGAAACTTTTACGATGCCGACACACAGGCAGTGGTAGGGATTTCTAGCCAAAACATCATTCTTATATTTATTGGCTCCTTAGATCCCTTGGGCCAGACTTGACCCACAGGCTTTCACTACATTCTCTGCTAAAGTGGCAACTCTCAACCTGGAAGAGAGAAGACTGGTAGCAATCAGGTCCCGGGGAACCGTAATCTTTGTGCAGACAGGTATACCCATCTACAAGCCTGGGCAGAAAGGCTAGTGTACCTAAATTTCATTACACTCAACCAATATCATTAGTTGATGGGACATCTAAATTGATGGTACACAATACATGCTTGGCAAATTGGTTGCATTAAAATACATTAGAGAGTTTGCCTAAAATACAAAACAAAAACACAAATTGAAGTGCTCACTTGGGCAGCACAGATACTAAAATTGGAACAGTACAAAGAAGATTAGCAAGGATCCTGCATAGGAAGAAGATGCAAATTCAGGAAATATTTCTAATTTTTTTCCACAGACATACCCTTATCTTTTATACAGTAAACATGCCTGGCATTCTCTATGTCAATCATACTCAACCAAGGGATTTGAAGATATAGAGTATGTAGCCTAAAGGCTAAAGATTTAGTTTCACCAAATCTGGGGTGGGGAGCCTGGGAAATTGTATTTTTAAAGAATTCCTTACATGATTCTAATAATAATCAAGTTTTGGAATAACTACGTGACAGTTAGGCAAATCTCTAAGCTGATAGTTGAATTACAGGTAAAACAGCAATAAAGTGTCTCAAGAACAGGTTAAGAGAAGCCTGGTGAGCAGAGAATTGCCTGGTGTTGGAATGATCAGAGTGGCATGGAATTAAATTGAGAAATCTCTTCTCTCCTTGGTTTGGAAGGAGTTCTTCGAGATTCCTACAGTCGAAAGAAAGATGTTTCTAATGAGACAAATGGCACACGAAAAAGCACAGAGATAGAATTAATTTCAAAAACCATGCCTTAAGATGAGAATTCGACAGACTTATTTTTAGTGGGGAAAAAAAAAAAAAACAGAAGGGAGGAAAATAGGTTCAGGTGAATAAAAGAGTTACGAGAGAGCCTTGGATATGGTGCCGAAGAGCTGTTTTCTGTAGATTGGGGGATTATACCATGATGAAAACAATCTGAAGATTATCCTTAGCAACTAACATTAGCCAATATGCTTTCTTTCCTGATAGGAAGTATTTCAAGAACTAGGGCTAAGGATAAAATTGGAAGGGTTCTGGGATTCTTGCTAAGACTTAGCTGAAGAAGGCAGATGTTGAAAAGGATGCTGCTACTTCAAACAGCTCATAAGAACTTAAATACAATGAGTTTCTCTTTCCTCATCCCATCTGTTTTCCAGTAAAGAGCCTAAGATGCTAGGAAATGGTTTTAAACGTAGCACAAAATGTCAGTAACGTGCCTTGCACAATTGAGGCTATTCAGTTTTCAAAAAAAATGGACCCTTAGTACCTAAGATAGAATGCTTCAAATATTCATAACTTACCCAATGTCATGTTCCTTTTTAAAACAAAGACTAGTGTGATATTAACTATTGCTTTATACTAAATCACAAAGCATATTTAGACGCTGTAGCTTCGTATGTGACCATCATCTGCATTTTGATGTCCATACCCTCATCTCTCTCCGTCCCACTGAGAAATTACAAAAGATACAACATCAATCCAGGCTAAAAAATTTTACAGGATGCTATTGATGGCTGAGTTGTTGCAAAGTTAGTCATTTAAAATGTTTTAAGATCCACAAATTAACTAGATACAGTTTTTTGATTTTATGTGTTCCAGCTTCACACTTCGCATTCCTCATGCGTAGAACTAACCTACATTGGTAATTCATGTTATTCCAGGGCCTCGTTTAACCTAGTTTGAATGTTGTCATCATTTCTGTCCAGATTTGCCAAGATCGAAGAAAAAGCAATGAAATTTAACTCCGAGATTAGACACAAGGCCAGTGTGATGAGTGTATTTGTCTGCTACTTTACAGGAAGCCATAGCACTTAAGAAATGTGGAGTGGATTTTTACCTCACATAATTTCAGGTTGCAGAAGGTCCCTTCCATAAATAAATCACCAATAATAGTCCTTGATTTCTGTAATTGAACCACTGGAGTTTCACTGCATTTGTGTAAAATGTTTAACCCTGTTGGAACACAAAATTTAAGACAATAAACCATTTTCTTTATTTAAACTAACAAATTTTAGTTTCTTTCTCTCAAGATTATACTCACAAGTAAATCTATAAAGACATTGGACACCTGAGCAGAGGAAAAATTTCCTCAAAAATTTGAAAGATGTTTTCAGCTCCTAAAACAAACCTCTAAACTTCATAGAATTAGGAAGTGGATGTTATTCATGGTTCCTTTTATAACTCAAAGTAAACAATGCCTAGCATTTGATGGGAGTGGGGAGGGGCGATTGACACTGAAAGAGATCCAGGCACCCCTATAACATAGGGTTAAGTCAATCAACGTGGTTTTAATGGGTCTATAATTTTAAGAAAATGTCAACATTTCCTTAAAGTAGTTTGTGTCTTTCCTATCACTTCAGAATCAAAATACATGTATGGATAACTTTTAAAAAATTGGTAAAGATAAAGATCAGGGTAAGTACAGTCCCTAGCTCAATTTTGTTTCAGGAAGTCTTGCTAAAATTGCCTTTCTTAAATTGTACTCTATTATAATTCTTATCAATGTTCCAACAAAATTAGCAATTTGAAGAGTGTATCTTCACTTTGGGACTTGCATCTTAATATCCCATTCTATTTTCATTTGGCTCCAGCAAATCCCTCCACCGGTTTGGAGACCTGAACAAATCACCTTTTCCCAGTTTGCTAACTTTTTCTAAGTCTCTTCTCTTTTATATCCAAAAGATGACCTTTCCATTTAAAAGCAAAGATGACGTTAGAAAGCATGGAGCAGGAAGAGGCAAGAATGAAGTGTATTTCAGCCTTTCTTCGTATGGGTGGAGATGCTGTATCTGTTTGGAAACCTGTCACCACCAGCCATGCATTCAGTGGAAGGAGATACTGACTTGCTTTGTCTTTTATTTAGCTGTTATTTTCAAACTTGTATGTTTCATTCAAGATATTTTATGGAGAAACACCAGTAACATTTCCAGTCTGATGACATCTGAAAGCACCTACTTTATTTTAAATTGTCATTTGCCTATGTTCTGTATCACTATATCCGTTTTATCTGCTTATCCCCCTTTTTCCTGTTGTGTTGTATCTTTTCAGTTTATTTAACTTCTTTCTACTTTTCACTACTTTATGTCATTTTTCATATTTGACTTTTTTCTTTAGCTTAAATTTATTCAGTTGTTTCTCTTTATTTTTCAGTTTTGCTTTAGAATGGTTTATTACACCATTCTAACCAAGTATTTTTATTTATTTTACCTTTTTTATAAAATGATCTATGTTTTGCATTAGGAAGCATTATTCTAAAGGTACAATTGTTTTGGTTCCTGAACTTTCCTCTCAGCCTCAAAAAAGTTCTAATTTACTTACTTAATAGTCGCTCTGTTATCTCATCTATAACCTCTCCTTTCCAGTTCCAATGCTAAAAATTTTATGATTAATTTTAAAGACTTTCCATCCAAAATCACCACCATCCCTCAGTAGCTCACCTTAGTTACCACTGTAGTGGGTTTTTTTTTCCCGATAATGTATACTCCAGTTCTTCTAAGAGAACAAATGAAGTGTAAAATACATAGTACTTAATGCATGCAATCTCTCAGTGTCGATTAAATCCTGAAGAGGTATTACTGCAAAACAGGAGAGAGAGATTACAATTTACATAAAAACCTTAAATATAAACCCCAGATTTAATTGTAAATAATAACCAGCTTGTTTCCAACAGCCTCTCGAGGCTTGCTCTCCTCTGTCTCTTGTAATAGATTTGTCAACTGGTTTGCCAGCAGATTAATTAAGAAAAAGAAACTACTTCTGTTGCTGTATATTTTTTGACAAATAGACTTTCTTTTTTCTGCTTCTGATCTGATGAGGATGACTAATAATAATAATAATAATAATAATAATAATAATAATAATAATAATAATAAATGTTGGATTGTTTACTAAGGGAACAATGTGAGATAAAATGCTTAAGAGGCTCTTCTGAATTTTATTTTAAATGCTTAAATCTTGGCAACACTCTGTTGTCTCAGAATCTTGAGTCCAATAAATCCCCACAAGAATCTGTGAAAAATCTGGAATTCCTATACATTGCTTAGGAGCCACATGGAAACCTGGTGTGTGGAGGGAGTGGAGCAGGACCTTCCAGGTGAGGCCCCTCCCCCACACCCTTTGCGGGAGGAGAGCGAGGAGTTCAGTAGGACTGGAACAGACAGGGTAGGGGAGGCGGCGGGTTGAGGGTGTGGAGACTGGGGGTCCCAGGCAGGGGAGGGTGTGCAGACATAGACAGAGTCGTTCTCCTGGACAAAACTTCCACTGATGACTCAGAGGAAGAAGACTGGGCTGGATGGAACATTGTTTTGCCCCTCAGGCAGTTTTTTGTTTATTTGTTTTAAGTCTATAGAGTGAACTCAAACAATGCCAACTGTCTCAATCATAAAGCTTCCTCACATTTCATTTTTTAAATTTCTTAATTGAATTAGCAATAACAGCCCTGTATCCAGAATTACAAACCGTTTTCCTCATTCCTCCTGCTGATAAATTCAGGGGAGAGGAGAACTAACATTTACTCGGTACTTCACACTTGCTCAAAACATCTATTACTTCATTTAGCCCCCACAACATTCCTTTGAGGTATTAGCCCTATTTTTTGTGATGAGGAAACTCAAGAGAGGTTAAGTCTCTTATCAACAGTAATGGGAGCTGTTACAATTTATTGAGAACAGCTATATGTAAAGCACTCGGCTAGGGGCATGATACTTACATTAATTCTAAGCTTAATCAAACCCCCTGTAAAGTGTGTCATTATTACCATTTTATCAATGGGGAAATAGAAGCGTAAAGAAGTAAAGTTTGCTATCTGAGGTGGAAAGCTAGAATCTCAATTTAGTGTGTTTTTTTTTTCCTGCCCCAAGGATATGTTCTATCACATGAGGATAGCAAGTGCCAGCAGCTTGGACTTTCATTCATGTTTTTAATAGTGTGTATTGAAGAAACTCCTACTGCAGTCGTGAATAGAGCCGGCCGGAGGAATCAGCTCACTGACAAACCCACTGGCCTGATCCCTGAATCAGCATGCTGACACTAACCATGAGTCTTTCTAGTAAGACAAAAAATAGCACATTCTTTATATCCTTTTTATCATTTGCCCTGCCTCTCAGAATCGGTGCAGGGAAATCCTTGACGGATGGAAATGCGTCCAATGAGCCCCAGCATTTTTCAGCCTGCTCTCTACCAGGCAGGCCAAGTAGTCATAAAAACACTTGGAAAAATGTACAGGGCTCATCAGTAAATTATCATAGAGGTCTATCAACCAGGATTCCTGCTTCTTTTCTTCAGTAGAA